TTGTTTCATCCATCTTCAAAAATGATTTTTCTATAGCTCACCTCGTGAAAACTTTCAGTGAGTGACTGATAAACATCTCACCTGTGTTGACCTCCATCAGTCTCTTTTTCCTCATCTGCCGCTCCTGCTTCTCTCGTTCTGCCTTCTCTTTGGCTATCCTCGCTTTCCTCTGCTTCTCCTCCGCCTCTCTTCTCCTTACGTTCTCCTTCACTGCTTGCTGGAGAGAAAAAAGCAGAGATAGAGCAGACTACTGAGGAAACAGGCTAAAGATAAACTTGCCATTTACAAACAAAAAGGCGAGTACAAGTTCCTTAAAAGAAATGAATACTTTTATTCAGCAAGTTACTTTTAGTTTTAGTCAGACTCATAAAATTGATCAAAAAAGTGACAAAGAAATGCATAATGTAACAAAACATTTCTATTTCAAATAAAATAATATGAATAATTATTATGATGAGACATTTTATCTATGTTAACTGTAAAACAAAATCACAGCACAATATTTATGCCATAAATAGCTTTGATATTATTTATCATTATTTTATTTTCCTTGGTTATATTTAGCCTATCATGTAAATAGTTATTACAAATGTTTACAAATTCTTTTTATGTTAATGTTTTTCTTTTTTGCATTAGTGAGTGTGTTGAAATTAATGTGCAAATCATGTCGATTTACTGTGAAAATTCATATACACACACATGCTGTAATATATACACATCTGGTGATGTGAATAAAATTGAGTGGAACACACCAAACTAAGACCTCAGAAAACAGTCTATAAATAGACATTTGAATGATTTTAAGAAACAAGAACCAAGTTGAATCTCAAACATCCATGTTAAAAACTATTTAACCCAAAAGTCGGTGTATGGCGGAACATCCTTTACCCTTTAAACCCTCCAAATAAATGCTTCTGGCAAGTGTTCAGATGATCCTGACACCTCTCTATTGGACTTTAGCCCACTGCACTGCTCATGTGAAAAGCTTCCAGCTCACTGACATTTTGTGCTTCATGTGCTGCCACTGCTTGTTTCAAATCCTATCAAAGATTTTCAATGGGATTTAAATCTAGAGGCTAAAACGGCCACTCAAGGACATTCCCTGCCCAATCCCTGAACCATGTTCTGGTAGACTCGGGTGTAGGCTTGGGATCATTGTCTTGCTGACAGTCCGACCTTCAAATTACATGCTGAAGGCATCACACTCTTTGCCAAATGGCCTGATACTTTCAAAAGAATCCATACCAGTCACATGGTTAAGATTGCCATTTCCTGCAGCAACAAAACACCTGACTGACCCAAACAAATTATTTTTGTGCTTAAGCTAGCTGAAGCCACATAAAACATTGTTATTCAGATAGAATTTTACAACAAATACCCTATTTTTGTGAGATTTGCTACTCTACTGATATTAAGTTTAATTATAGACCTCCTGAAGACTTGTGAAGTAACATTTTTTTTTTGTATATAAGAGGGCTGCTCTCCTCACTATGTTATTTTTTTATTCCGTTTAAATTTTTCTGGATTCTGTTTTTTTTTTTTTTTTTTTTTCCTGGTTTAATTTTTTTCTTTTTTTAGTTAATTTTTTTATTTATTTGTTTAAATCATGAAGCAAGTCTAATTGAAATCATGAAACTTATACAATTTAACAACAATTTCTTAAAAGTTTAACAAACATTACATGTTTAGGACACTATGAAATGTTTTTATTTCCCTCAAATTAATTTTTTTTTTTCCTGTTTAAAGTTTTATGGATTCAATTTTAATGTTTTAATTAAATGTCAACAATCAAAAAGAAAATCTAATTAATTCAATAAATAAAAACAATAATTTTAATAAAAACAGTTTGATTCATTTTTATGACAAGTTTTTCCCCATACAAATTATGTACTGTGTATTTACTGGAAATCAAATGAGGACAGAAAACATTAATTTATTTTATCATTTAAACATATGAAATTGAACAAACACAAAGCTTTGTCAAACAACGTGCTACACAATGAGCTTAATTGTTAAAATTAAAACATGGTAAAGTAAAATGAATTATTCCTTAAAAAATAAAGGTTTTGATAATTTATTATTATTATAGTGTTAGTATTAGTACTGTCTACTATCTACTTTTTATTTATTTATAAAAAATTTGACAAAGTATGTGAAATATTCTAGAGTAAATTCCGTAAATAGGGACTGGATTCCGCAATTCCGACCGTGTTTTCTGCATCGCAGAAATCATAGGGCCCTAGATTTTACATATTATATGCCCACATATACTAGTGTTGTACGCTAAACCGTTGTTAGAGATAAAACTCTTTCCATTTGATTATGAAAACAAATCTCAGAGAACGGTCGACTAGGTACCAATGTGTTATTAGACCAAAGGTTCATTTTGTGGAGTAAAGTGGCAGAAAGTGAGAAAAAGACCTCTCATTAACTAAGCCATTTTATACCCAGGTTTTGACAACGCTCTGAGCTCTTCAGACATTTTCAAGAAGATCTGGGGGGCAAGAACTGAGCAAAAATTTCCCCTCCTTGCTTGCTTTCTTTTCTTTTTGGACCATTAGCGGTTGGAGAGGGTTGTTTGAAATCTATAACTCCTATTTTGGTTTGATGAGGGCTACTTTTCTAGGTGTAAGAACACTTGGGCAATCAGAACAAGCTATCAGAAAGAAACATCATTAGAGCAGTCACCTTGTCCTAACTCTTTCTATGCCTCTTTTTCCGGCTCTTTCTCTCTTCAGCCTTAAAAGCCTTCTCCAGATAATGGATGTATTTCTAAGTGTGCGGAACAGAACAAGTGGCACACCTCACACAAAGGTAAGGTGTAAGAGGCAAAAGACGGACAGGTTTAATGAGAAAAGGCAGAAAGAAAGAGTGGGGAGAGGAGAGTTCAACGCAAATGGAGAAATAAAGACGCTGAGGAATAACCTGAATTCATAATTCAATAATTTACATAAGGGTATGAGTACTGCATTTCTAGGTTTTAAAAGAAGTTTAATGCATTTACAGACGTATGGGCCCATATATAATGAAACATGCAAATGGATAAATATTAAGCCCACTTAAGCACACACACTTTTTTTTCTTATAAATTATAGTTTATTATATGTCAACGTGACTGTTGAATGCTTGAAACTAATTGGTTGATGAATGTTCAAAAGTTTGGAATTATTTTCAGGAAAGTGCATGGCTAATGGATATTTGTTCAGTGATTTCTACAAAGAAAACAGCTAGTAAAACCATAGATATAACAGTCTTCAAGAAACTGTAACGTTTCTGGTTATTTCAAAATATAGATGTAGATACAGATACAGATATTGGCTCCACTGCAAACCCCTAATATATATTTACACACAAACTCTCTGAGTGGCCATTGAAACCCTCCTTTGTTACCATCACACCAACCCATAATTTTGCTGTCCTATTAAAGAATTTCACCATCATATCTAATATTTGTCCCATGGGAAAACCTGTTCTAAAACTCCTCGTAAATGGCTAAGGCAGATGTCGCTGTCTATTTTTTGCACAGCTCACAGATCTCCAACTGATCCATAGTTGAAGCAGTGGTCCTTTAAATGAGCAGGAAATATGGCTATTGATGGCAGGCCAAGACAGAGAATAAGTCACATGATAACGAGGCTTATTCCCCATTGCATGTGGCGGATTACGGCCACAGTCTGCGATCACAGTAAATCCTGACGAGGGGGGAAAGATAGCGAGATGGAAGGTGGGTTAAATCAGCTTTCCTCTCCATGGCTCTGTGACTGTGCGCACACAGAGCACTTTAAACACTTTCATTAGAATTAGAGGAGAATGAAAAGCAGCGGTGCGTGACCTCACGCTCTGTAGCACGGACATCAATATGAACACTAATACAAGAGGGGGATTCATAATGATCCTACCTTTTCTTCAACACTTCTAGACTTCTAATAGACTGTTTGTGACTTGTCAGTCGTCACTGGTGTTGCCCATATGCAAATTTCCACACATTTCTAAATGTTCTGCCAGAAGCCTAATTTGATTTAGTGAACGCCTTCACTGATAGAGAAAATGAGGCAATTAAATAATTCACATTACATGCAAGGTAGGTGATTTGTTCAAGAAATATAACACGTACTGTATGTAGAGTATACGTACTGATAGATACATCTTCTGTGGAATTCGGTCCGAATGCAATATGATGTCCTACCCACCCGGGTACACACCATAACTACAGTCATTTGTAAGAGATGGATAATTTATGTTTTTCAATGGAAACGCTATCAATGCTGAAACGAACCTGCAGCAGTCAGGTGGTACAAGTCAGTGGCCTTGAAGTTGTTTATGTTCATTATTATTGTAATGTTACGTACTTGAGGCAGAGTGAACCAGTGCATGCATGTAAATTAACTAAGTGCAAAGTTTCACTCTGAAAGAGCATACTTTTAATTGTCGGCAACCTGTCAAAATAAGATTGATGGGCTGCTGTTTCTGTTAAAGATGCAATTATGACAAAGTAGTATATCTCAAAGCTAGCCTCCTCTTCCACTACATAGTCAAAAGTATGTTGTTTTTTGTTCATGGATTCTCATGCCTGGAATGCACCACTTCCGATATTTTTCCGGTTACTCGACACGGGTAAATTGCAATCAAGGATTTTTAAAAATTGAGTACTGCTTGTGACCAGCAGCCTCATCTGAACAGTATGTGACAGGCATGTCCATCCAACTTCTCGAGCAGTGGCCACCATACTCAGGTAAATGCAGCAGATGCAACGATTAATCGACAGCGACTCGGTGTACAAAAGCTCCGGCGTGAGTCAGCAATCAAGAGCAGATGGGCCAATGCTGAACGATGAGTAAACTAGTTATTAGATGTTCAATAACAGTTCCAAGGAAAATGAGCATGAGTCTGAGGATGTTCCATTATGCCTATTCAATGGCATAATACAAAATAATAACATAAGAGCTGGTCTAATCCCTGGCTGAACACCATGATAGAAGACATACTGACAAGAAAAAGCTCTTAAAGAAACTCACAAAACGTCACAACAGAAGAAATGCATGTTTCCACATTGAATGGCATTATTAAATGTTTTTATACACCATTTTTTATTGCTATTCAAAAAGTTCAGTTTGTTAAACTAAGAAAGCATAAAACATATTCATATTTTTCTAAAAAACTATGAGCTGAATCCATTTATTTACTTATAGGTTAAAACTTACAGGTCACAAAACCTTT